TCCACGATTATCTTCTGTGTCTGTGTTAATTGGTTTCCCTTTTCTTTGTTAAAGAGGGTCTGTGCAATCCTTCTGCCTAGTCTGCCATCTTGCCGGAACTCCCTTGATTGTGTATATCTTTGAGTGACTGAGTATTTGTTCTGATTAGTTCAAAATTTCATCTGATTGGCTGCACCTCTGTTTTGATTGGTTGGTACATGCTATATGAGTTATTAAATATTTTAAACATCACTGTAATGCTCAGCAATTGGCGAGGGCTAAACACTCCCCATAATCCCATTGATTATTTCATGCCTGACATATTGTGTTCTCTTAGAGGAGAGAAATATTTCTGGTAATCATGTCTTTCAACAAAGAGAGAAACAAAACCTACATGTGGATATCTGCATGTTGAAGACCAACAGAAGCAAGAATGGATCTTCATGGAAGTGAAGAGTTGAGAACTAATACTCATCTCAACTGCCTTTTCTCTTACCATCCTATCCTGTGGAGTCTGAAAAGAAAAATGTTCAATTCCCAGACTCACTTGGAGGTAGGGGTGACCACTTTACTCAGATATGGTTAATGGGTTCTGTTTAGAAGTCCCTGGGAGGATGCATCATCCTACACAAAGTCTTGCTGGGAAACCTGAGGTTCCTTTCCCCTTTCTGCTAGAACATTAGCACCATAGCTAGAGCTATATCAGCATACTGTATTCATGAGGACAAAAGCCACATGCTGAGGAGAATAGAAGCTGTGTAGTGGTTAAGTGCTTGTCTGCTAATCAAAATGTCGGTGGTTTGAACCCACCAGCTGCTCCACAGGAGAAAGATATAACAGTCTGCTTCTGTAAAAATAACTGCCTTGGAAACCCTGTGGGGCAGTTCTACTCTGCCCTATAGGGTCACTGTGAGTCTGAATCTATTTGACAGCCATGAGCTGGGTTTGTTTTTAAGGAGGATAGAAGGAACCTGGGTCTTTCATGTCATAGTTGAGGCACCCTTTTTGTTCTGGACTGCCTTGATGTTTGAGACAAATGACTCTTAAGCAGTGTTCACATGCAGTAAACACGATCCTAGCTGCCACGTCATGTGCCCAATATGTGAGTCCCTGGCATGATCCATTCATCCTCCTGGTACTTGATGGTACTTGCATTTGTGTCCACTGGATTAAGGATGAGTGGTTTTTAACTATTGACAATGTTTTTCAGAATCTGGCCAGCAATTCAACTTCTCTGTCTACAAACACAAGCTGGACTCCAATCATATTCTCATCATCTTCATTGGTAGATTATTGCTACCACTGACTAAATCCTAGTTGGTAGGGGACTTATGATCACCATTTTCCCAGAAGCTGAGACTCAGATATATTAGACCATCAGCCCAAGTTCACACAGCTCATACAGAGAAGTCTATGTTACAGCCCTGGGCTGTATGACTCCCTTTTCTACAACTCCCTTGGCCAGTTTACCCCTGGGAGAAGCCTCTCCATGCACTTCCTCCCCTGAACTTCCTGAGCAAAGAGGATAGAGATTTCCCCAGCTCTTTCCAGGCCTGGTCCCAATTGTCATCCAGACATCACCCTTCTCTTACTGATAAAGACATTGAGGCCTAGAGTAGGGCAATGATTTTAAGTTGGGAATAGGTTGAACCCTGAAGCTTGTCTTGGGTTCTATCCTTTAACCCAGACCACCTACTGTGGACTTGATTATTCTATTGTGCTTCTAGAAGCTGAGGTCCTGAAGTTTCTCTGGCCTCCTGGCCCCAGCTTGTTCTCCCAGCATGGCTCAATGACTTAAGCCCAATGTTGGGGAGGACATGAGTGAAAGCCTGGAATGGCTGGGGGCAGAAGATGCTTGACTGGGGAGAAGACAGACAAGGTGGTGCTGCTCAGGGCCACAGGGGGGTATCTGCAGGAACACAGACTTTCTGAGCATGTAGGGGGAAGTGTGGCACTGACCTCTCACTCTGCTGAGTCATCTTCCATTCCTGTCCCTGTCTGGACATCTGACATTCAGCAGGTAATATTTTGACCCTCTTGTTCCAGGGTGCTCAAGATCCATGGGCTTGAGGAGACTGTCAGGCAGGAGTCCAGTGGAGGGCAGAGTGGTGCTAGTCAAGGTGAAAGGGGAATATTGAGGAGTGGAAGCCTAGAGGTGCATCTTAGGACAGGGAGACCAGAGGAGGAGCTGTGCCAACTGGTGGAAAAGTATCTCAATCCATTTTAACCACTAGGACAGCCATATTGGGCTGGTCCCCCAACCCCATACAGACTCCTATGCCCTACCTCAAAAGCTGCACAATGTGCTGCTGGGGCCACTGTCCCCCAGCACCTGCAAAGATGCCTTTCACCTCCAACTTTACTGTCCCACCCTGGATGTCAGCCTACCTGAGGCTCACAGGCCCCCCACTGGCCCACTTGAACTTGTGATGAGGACTCCAACTGGACCCTAAACAAGCCCCTGAGACTCCCTAACCCTTCAGTCCCTCCTAAAGACACTAGATTCTGCAGAGGCCTGTTCACCCTCTCACCTTGTCCTGGGTTCTCTCATCCCCCCAATACCCAGGAAATTGGGCTTCTCTGCACCTCTGGTGGCTACCCCAGAGCCTCTTGGCCCTTGAGGGAAGTCCCCCTTTATATCTTGTTCAAATAGGTGGGCAACCTTTGGCATGGCCAGGTTGTAAACCACAGGAGCCCCCTGATTATCTGATCATTCCAAGCATTTAGCTGCGAGCTAACTTTGGCCAGTCCTGAGCCTTAAAGGCCACAGGGAGAAAGGAGTGGGGTAAGGCTGATAGAATTTGTCAGAGAAAACCATATTAACCAGGAAGAGATAGGGTGTGACATGGGTAGGATGGTATGCAGCCAAATGCCCATGAACCAAACAGCTCCTGCCTGTGCACTTGGGCCCCCCATCCATTGTGTCTCCAAGCCTCTCTGATTGAACCCTGATTGCCCAGAGTCCCCTCCCAATCAGGTATCTTTGCTCACCTGGGATTTTGGCTTCAGAGGACCAGGCTCTCCCTCTCTCTCCCCCACAGGTGGCTGACAGGAGACCGCTGGGCTGCTCCTAAGCTGGCAACTGGCTGCTGAGGAGGGTGGTGCCCTGAGGTCCCTGCTGGGGGTCTGGCCTCCCTAAAGTGCATTCCATCATTTCCTGGATCTAAGAGATTTCTAATACCGCCTCAGACACCTGAGCCAAGAAAGGCCCTTAGGTCTGCCCCAGGACAAGATAGAGGAGGTGGTGAGGGTCTTTAACCTGTAGAATCATGAGTTTGCATCCCAGCTCAGCTACTTGCTGCTGTGATTGTGTCCAATTCACTTTCCCTCTCTGAATGTTTCCTCTTTTGTAAAATATTCAATTATTCATTCATCCAGCACGTATTTATTGTGTGCTAAATATATGCACTAGGCAAGGAAGTCCCTATACTTATGCAGCTGTCCATCTAAAGAGAGCATTGGCCCAAATTATGACAGTTTCAATAAATGTGCCAATATAAACCATGGTAAGTGCTAGGATGAGAAAGGCGGCTTGAGAAGTATTGTCAACTGAACACTGGCAGATAGTTGGCTCTGCTGCAGTCCCAGGCATTGCCCCTCTGTGGGCCTCCGTTTCCCCAGCATCGATGGAAAAGCGGTGGCTTAGATTTAAGGATTTTACGGGTCTCTCCCAATCAAGTCCCGCCCCGCCCCGCCATTCCTGGCCGCCAAGTTCCACCCCTCCCGGCTGAGCCGGTTGACTGCGCCTGCACACTGTCACACTCACACTCACACACACACACACTCGCGCGCGCGCACTTGCGAAAAAACGTGTCCCGCGCGTCCTGCCGTCTGTTTCCAAGGCAACTCCAGTGCCTTTTAGCAACTGCGCATGCAACCAGCGTCAGTTCCCAGCGCCCTCAATACTGCCATGGCGGCGGCGGGTCCCAGCGTCTTCCTACTCATGGTCAATGGGCAAGTGGAGAGCGCTCAGGTGAGCCACCAGTCTCCGCCCCAACCTCCCCCAGGCACCTCGACCATAGGGTTTTGCTAGGGCCCCAGCGAGGCCTGTTGTCCCTAGGAGCCTTTCTGCGTCTTGGTGAGGCGAGGGAGAACTGACAAGTGAGGGGCGCGGCGCGGCAATACTGGGGATCCCCAATGAGCAGTGTGGATATTGAGACTTGCAGAGGCTGAGCTTGTGCCAAGGCTGCAACCCTGGCTTTGTTGCAGCCCTGGCCACCTCCGCCAGTTACTGACTCGGGCGTCCCTGAGTCTCAGAGCCTTTTTTTTTTTTTCCCAGTTGTGATTTGGGTGAAACTTTACAGAAGAAATTCGTTTTCCGTTCAGCAGTTCATACACATTTCGTTTCATGCCCTTGATTGCAATCCCCACAATGTAACAGCTCTCTTCTCACTTCCTCCCTGTGGTTACCTTTTCCCTGTGCCCTTCTTTACTGTGCATTCCTGCCCTCTGAGCTTTCTCCCCGAACAGATGATGCTCTTCTGATCTCCCATGGTTGATTGTTCCAAGGAGTGTACTTGCCTGGTGTAATTGTTCCCCTCATAGGTGTGTCTGTTGTTTGGCTTGAAATTAAGCCATTGGAGTGAGTTCAATTCCAGGTTTAAAGGGGGACCAGGGGTCATAGTCTTGAGAGTTTTACCAGTCTCTTATCAGACCAGTAAGCCTGGTATTTTTATGATTTTGAGTTTTGTTCCACATTTTTCTACCACTCTATTCCAAGATCTTCAATTCTGATGATACCTTTTGGAGTGGCTGACAGTGATAGCTGGGCACCATCTAGTTCTTCTGGCTTCAGGGTCATGTGAGCTGAGGTTCCCGTAGTTCACTAGTCCCTTGGACTAATTGTTTCTGTGTATCTTTAATTTTCTTCACTCTTCTTTGCTCTGCATGAGGAGAGAACAATTAGTTGTATCTTAGATGGCTACTCACAAGCTTTAAGTCCCCGGTTGCTACTTACTAAAGTAGGATGTAGAGCAATGTTTTTGTTCTACAATTGAACTTGATGTCCCCAAAAACCATAGTTCCAAGCCCGTGGCCTGGTGACTTATTCTCTCAAAGTGCTTGGCTGTGGCTAAGAAGTTACCGTAACTTTGTCCTATGTTACCTCTGTTATATGTATGTACATTCTTATAGCACATACAAATACATATCAAGAAATATCATCTGCCAGACCTGTATTTGGTCTTGAATATATTCTGTTTTGCCTACCCATATCTGATCACTTTGCCTGCCCACGTATGTATCCACCCTTAGATTAATGATTATTAGTACTGATAATGCAGTATTATGTATGTGTGCGTAGCACAGAGTAGCAGGCCGGAAGAGCAGGAGGAAGGGGTGGAACCCAGGAAGCCAAAGAGAAGAGTGTTCAGCCAGGGGGCAGTTTAAGCATAG